TTACCTTCCACATTGGGCTCTCAACAGATGAGACGACGCGTCGTCTGTCTGCGCCACAGAATCTAGGCGACATTTAATATTCCACATGTACACATCCGTAGAGCACATACTTCGAGAATTGCCCTAACACTAATCAATTATTTAGGGATAGGGACGGGTCGCCTTTGCTTTGTTGTTGCCTTCTGACCTGCCCGTTGGCCGTTCGTTATTTTGCGCCGGAACGGCGCATGTGTTGGACATTATTTAATAACAAATTCTCCTTACCAGGGAAAGTTGGAAGAGATTCGCTAACCAAATTACTCAAAGTGTCCTAACTTTGGTGTGGCGTCTTGTCAAGGTTTTATTTCCGAGGTCCGATCCGCTCCGGACCTTTCGCCCGTCCGACCTTCGAAGGCACAATTCAATTGGCCTACAGATGGGTCGTTCGGTCCCCGACTTACGCTGCAGCGAAAGCGCCAGCTGCTGACTTCCTAAGTCGCGGAGCCATTGCACTGTCAAAAGTTTTTGACACGTACAACGACTAAAGTTTTCAGCGGTGGCCCGAACATAAATAAACACGTTCGTGTTCGTGTTCCTGTCTCTGACTCTATTCCTGTCTCTTCTGCCCGACCAAAGACTGTGCCGTACCCGTGGTTGAGTCCGAAACGTGACCAGCGACCAAGTCGACTGAGCCGCAGCTTGTTTGTCCGATCCGTTCTTCGGCGCTGCTAGGCCCGTAAATTTTTCAACAAGTTTTTATTATGCTTTCGTGTCCTTGCAATAAAGCACAAATACGAGAACGCACACCCAACACCAAACACCAGCCAGCTTCATCTTATTTTATTTATTTAATAAAGCGTAGGTACGAGCATACATATGTATGTACATACATATGTATGTACTTATGGACAAACGAGTATACACGAGTATGTATTTATGTGCACGGCTGGCAACAATTTATTGCGCAGGGACCTGCACATTTATCCTGCAGAAATGTTGCCAAATTATTGAGCTAATAAATATTTACCGTACTAGCTGTCCGACTGGCCTCCGACACCCCCATTTGGGCCATCCATATCATCACCGCCTCCGAAAGGGTTCGTTGGCGTTGAGCCATATCTCTGATAACTTTGATTTTTCTCTCTGACAGCTGCGCCTGATCTTTTTGCGTACATTTATCTTTTTGGCTATCGGACTGGGCCTGGGCCTGGGTCTGAGCCACCCCCCACCCTCAAGACCATCAATCAAAGAATGCTCGTATATGCATGCAATCCCTTGTTATTTCTGGGGGCACATGGCGTTGACTGGTTTATGGTATATGGATACAGATGTCAAAATTATTTGAAATTCCCAGCTCTCTCCACTATCCAGGCTCCAGAGAATATGAAGCTAAATCGTTGAAAAATTTCAACTCTTTGCACTGTACCAAAAGGTAGGTGGACATCCGAACCACATTGATGAGTGGGTGGAAAACGCACCACCCAGAGTTGTATCCAGAGCCAGAATTGTATACCGTCGTGCTGTTATTTTACTGTTACTGCAGCGAATAAGTGAGCGTTACTCGTATTCCAACAGAGAAGTCCGTTCACTTTAATTCAAGTCTGCGGCATGCCGAATAAAAGCATTTTGCATGCACATAGGGTAGGGTGCCTCTGAACCCTCTTTACCCTCTGAAAGAGTATAAAAGCAAACAAAATGTAGTCAAATTCAGGCATGATGGACAGCTGGCCGCAGACCGCAGATTGCCAAATTTCAATATGATTTCAATTTTCCACCAAATTAAACTGAGCACAAAAGTTGAGAAAATTATGGACGCAGCTTTCCGCTTAAATAAATTCAGACAAATACGAGTACTCGAACCGTTTAGCAAACACGCAAATGAAACTCAACTTGATAATGCTGCAAAACGAACATGGGCGTTCGACCATCTCCTTCTCATCTCCAGCCCCCACATCAGTGTTCGAGTGAGCATTCAATTGCAGTTCGATGAGCTTCGAGCTAGCTCTCGACCTCGCCTTTGTGGCTGCCACTAGAACTGGAGCTGGTGCTCCTGCTGGTGCTGGAGTGGGCTCGGGCCCGCGCTCTGAAGCATAATGCTCCAGCTTCAAAGAGGATACAACTCCCACGAGGGCTCTTTACAACGATTAAAGGAAGGCCAAAATATTCTTGCATATTAATTTCTGTGGGAAATGAAAACCAGTAGATCCATAACCAAGCTTCACAAAAAAGTTCATCACAATGAGGGACAGCGGCAACGACAATGCAGCCAAAGCTCTGAAACGTCCGTACTTATCTGGCAGTATCCGACAGACAGAAGGCAGCCAGCCCCAAGTCGAGCTTCGGGGCTGCACTGGAGCTCTAATGGTGTCACTGCTGGCAGTGCAGTGCTGCATTGGGGTGCGGTACGGGCACGGGTGCTCCATCGCATCTGGAAGGCGGAGCATTTGGGGCTAGCCAGGGCATTTGCTTACCAGCTCCATCAGGGGCTGTGCTGTGGGAACGAGAGGAACCGCTTTCCGCACAGTTTGCAAAATATGAAGTTTGCCTTTGAAAGTTTGCGGTTTTGGCTTTCTCGCAAGCAAGCGAACAATAAGGAAACGCTAAGAAATACATTAGGCCAACCTAGAGGAGCATTTTCCAGCAAAGAAGGAGGACAGCATACTCACGACTGTGAGTGTGTACTTGGGCGGGCTGCACTACATATATATATGTGCATACATACATATATACTTGTACATATGTATGTACGCTCGTTCGTATTCGACAGAATTCGTATTTGAGAGCTTGAGTGGCGCTGGCATGGGATGCTTAGAGCTTGAAGGATAACAAGGGATTGTTTGGTCTCCGCACGCATTATACTCGTACACCAGAGTATTCGGATTCGAGCTAACAGCTCTGCCCCTCCGTACTTTTGTTTGCCTTTCGCCTTTCATCCGTTCAGTTCATTTCATCCGCTCGTATGCAACCCGACAACCCGACTATCCGAAAGAGTCCGATAATGAATGTTTGGGCAAACTTGCGGTAGCCTTCACGGACAACATAACAACCTCAAAACCGTCCCAACCGACCCCAAAGGATACTTTCTCTTTTGTTATTCGGATCTGTGTGGGTCTGTTTACTTGTAAAATGTCCCATTACTCATCGTCATATCGGCCGGACTCTGTCTGGGGTGCCCCGCTGTCTGGATTACATACATACATAAATGCTTAAATTTCATGGATAAATGACCACGATTGATACTTTTTGTGTACTTTTAATCTAACACTAGAACCGCATAGGATCTCTGCTCGGCCATCTTTTCACTGCCGAAACCCATAGGCCAACGCAACCGTAGAAGCAGATATGATAAGAGCTCACAAATATCGTAGGGTCTGACGTAAATTATAAAATATGCTAGAAACATTCGTATATTGGCAGACCCGCGCGCTTCGCTGCTTACTAAATGCATTTACTGTTTAGGAATTCATCGAAATTAAACAATGATAATCTAAAGAAACAAATATACTTACACTAATTGCATTTTATTCAGAAAACAATTTTTCAGACAAAAAGGTATAAAAACAAAATCGATCATAACATGTTCTGTTCAACAGAATGACACAAAATGAAATGAAATAGGCGTTCCAACACACATTTTTAGACCCAATTTGAGATATTTATACCCGTACTCAAAAAAGAGTTAAGGGGTATATTAGATTTGTGGTAAAAGTGGATGTGTGTAACACAGAGAAGGAAACGTTTCCGACCCCATAAAGTATATTTATTCTTGATCAGCATCAATAGCCGAGTCGATATAGCCATGTCTGTCTGTCTGTCCGTCTTGTTGAGCGCCTAGATCTCAGAGACTATAACAGCTAGGACAACCAAATTTGGTTTCCAGACTCATGTGATATCACACTGCTACAAGTGTATTTCAAAATTTCACCACGCGCGGAAGGCCCCCACAATGAACGAAGATCTGTGGCAGGCACATTTTTACGATAAAACTAAAACCGTAGTATCGTAGAGAATGACCATATCTACCAGATTGCTGAATCTGAATCAGATCGGATCATAATTATAGCCAGAATGAAGAAATTCATTTTCAGTTGCTTCCCCCGTCTCCCCCGGCATGAAACACGCTACTGATTCTCTTTCTCGCTCGCACACTCTGCCGCGGTCAGTGCGCGAGCAACCCCTAGCGGAGGAGATGTAGAGTCTACATTGTAAATGTATGTACAGAGGTAGAAAGAATATGTGCATCTACTGTCTACGTTCCGGTTGGGCAATGCAAACAAAATTTCTCAGGTTATAATAAGTCGATAATTATCGACTCATTATATAAAGGATAATTAAATCTAGTATTCTCTAATCCCCCTAACTCTCCCGAAGAATGCGAGGCGCTTTCTAATTACGTACTCGTACGAACAGACTTGTTCAAGCCAATCAGAGGCTTAAGCAATTCAACCTGAATTGCACAATTTAATGACAACATTAAGCTTCGGGAGCGGCCGACGGCGAGGCCATAGCTACTGGCGGGGATTATTCCGATAATCCCCGTCAAAGCTGCGGTACGATGTACGATGGGCACACGTACATACATATGTACGTACGTACTGTATTGCATGTGTGTAAGGACGGAGAGGATTTTCCAGTTTACGGAGCAAAGAGTGTAGTCAAAAGGCATTGAATTGTTAACCGAACTAATTAAATGTGATTTCAGTGGCAAATTTGCTTCAATTTAAAATTAATTTGAAATTCAATAAACAACATCAAACCCAATTAAGACGCCGAGAGAAATTGGAAAACCAAATAATGCCATAATTTCCAGCATCGTTAAGCAAATAAAAAGCGGTGGAGGCGAGCATCAGCGGCTATTTTTTTAATCTTTTTTCAAATAATCGAGTTAACAGCGTCGCGTAATGAATTGTTTGCGCGAGTGTTCGTATACTCGAAAATATAAATTAATAGGAGCGGAAAAAACAAAGGCAAAACAAGTGCAAAAAGCGAGTGTGAAATATAATTAATTGTTATGCTTTCAGAGAAAAAACGACCACCACAAAAAAGTAAAGATAATACAAATAAAGTGAAAAACAAAAGGCGAAAAGCGAAAAATAAGCAAAAAATACGCCGAACAAGCCGAGTAAAGACTAACCCCCCCACCATGCCCACCCATTCACGAATTCCGGCCAGTGCAATATAATCGTCCTCGTAGATACATATGTATATGGGATTCAGTTGCTACTGAGGTCCCCTCGGTAGCCTAGCGACTGTCGTCGACTGTGAGAATGGACATGAGCAAAGGCATCGGCAGTTGCTATCATATCGCACTCGACGCTAGGCCGCTGACGATGGCCATAAATATGAAAATTCAAAATACACACATAAATGGCCAAGTCTGAGGGTGCACAATAAAAGCGGCCATCAGGAACATCAAATCAGCAGCAGACGCTAACCAGCGATAGCATTGCCCATACGTCGAGCACGAGGCGCCGACAACAGCAGCAACAGCAACAACAACAACAGGGGCAGCAGCAACTGTGGCCGGTGGCAATGGCCAAGTTGGCACACCATCTACAGCATCTAAGGGAGCTGGAAGCCAGAACCCCAGGCCCACTCTTAGTCCCAGCCCCAGCCCACCCACCACAGATCGAGTCGGGCCGCACCGAACCTCCCCGATGGCGGCACGTGCAGTGGGTCTGCTCCTGCCCGTGCTCCTGGAACCATGTTTGGAGTAGGACAGCCCTGTTCCTGGCTGCTGTGTGCCTGCTGACGCGGCCCGTCATGCCGGAAGTTATTTATCGAGTTGATCCTTTGGGTAAATGCTTTGTTTTATTTCTCTCCTTTTTTCCACATTTCAGCTACAGCACAAAGCGGCGGCAACATGCAAACATTCTCGTACAAATTTGCGCTCGTTCTGCGTTCTTTCTGCGGCGGTCCTTGCCCCTGTGTCATTCCCGAGTCCTGCGGCGCTTTTTAGCTAAAAATAGGCGAGAGATGCAGGGGTCTTTGGCCGCAGCCACTGCCGCTGTCGCTGCCAGCCATACCTACATACATAGCTCTGTGGGGTCCAAAACCTCCTCGTCTGCGCCTCGGGTTTTCGACCCAGTGGGCGCACTGCCGGCTCATTGGGTTTTGGCAAATATTTATGTATAAATCATAATTAAGCACAAATATCCACTCAAAGTGGTTGTCCAGCTGCCGTTGCCCCTATCTTCCCTTCCCGATCCACTCCGCGGTTCTCTGTCTGTGCTCCTGGTAACGAAATTAACTCGTGCGGCCAAAGTTTTCCGGTGCAGATCTGAAAGCGAGAGCCACCAAATATTTGTGTATGTTCTCCATTAATGATTTATAGGGCAGTCGAAACAAACAATCATAAATTAAACAAGATTAATTAACTGGACATCGGAGTGCAGAGCGCAGAGTGCAGAGTGTGTGTTCATTCAGACACTCACAAAGTTATGAATTACGAGTGTCATACACTCGTGGCACGAGTATGTTTTTAACTTCATCTTGTAGTCGATTTCCTCCGTATATATGTAGTTCACATTACTCAACATTTTCTAGTTGCTAGAATGCGCCAGTGGCTGATAAAATGTAAAACAAAATCTTCTGTTGTCACCACAGTTCGCTCTTGACCTTTGTCTGCTTATACATACGCATTCATATGGACACATCTAAAGCAACTCTGTCACTTATGTAGATCAATAATAATAATACTCAAAATACTCTACGTGGTCTAACTCAACCTTCACGTACTACGAGTATAAAGTATAATTTAAGCATGCAGAATAATGGTTTGGACCAATAGGCTTTGGAAGTCCATGCCAATCGAATGCCAATGATAATTTTCTGGAAATATAATCCAATGAGTGCTGAAATTAAAGCTGTGGGGATTGGAACTACCAGCCAGTTTACAAAGTCCTTTTTTTCAGAGGCGCTCTGGTTTTCGTCTTAGCGTGTACGTGGAAGCACTAGAATGAAAGAAAGGTCCTTGTCGGTTTGCGGCGTTCACACGGCGCTGTCAATGGCCTCGCATGTGCTGAGCACTCCATTTAGGGCGACAGAACTGTGAACACACGAGTGACTCTGACTGTGACTGAAGCCAAACATCGCCTCAAGATGAGTCTGGACTGGAGGCGAATTTATCCGGGACACTTTAGACGGCTCCATGCCTCCATTACCCACTGGCATTACGGAAAACTCCAGCCGTGGCCATGGCGATGCCATCAATATTGTTGTTCTCCCATCTTTCCCCATTGTTCTTTTGCCAATGCCACTCGCTGGTGTATCGATGGACGGGGCGGGACAAAGAAATCTTCGACTTGTGCTACTCCCAGACAATGCATTACAAAATTAAAAAAAAGGTGAAAGAGTTATTTTTTATTTTATGTCTATCGCTTAAGGCCAGCGATGTGGATACTTTTTATACGCGTTACTGAAAGGCTAAAAAAAATATATTAGTTTTGCGTAGATGTGTGTAATACCAAAAAGTAGATACATATGTATATATGTCTGTCCGTCCGTCCTTCTGACCGTCTGTCAGTCCGTCTTGTTTTACACCTAGTTCTCAGAGACTTTAAGAGCCAATGTAATCAAATTTTGTTTCCAGACTCATGTGATATCATACTGAATCAAGTTTGTTTCACAGTTTTGCAAGGCCCCCACCGCCTTCACAAAGAACGAAAATTTGTGGCCGCCACAATTTTGAAGATACGAGAAAACTTAAAACGCAGTATAGTAGAGAATGACCATATCTGATGGCCCAATCTGAATCAGATCGGATCATAATTATAGTCAGAGTAAGGAAATTCATTTTCAGTTGCTCCCTCCACCTCCTCCAGCAAGAGACCATGCTACTCATTCTCTTTCTCGCTCGCACACACTCTGCCCTGTGAGGTGCGCGAGCTTTCGCAGAGAATATGTAGAATCTACATTGTAGATGTATAATATACATTTCAGATGTAGAATAAACATGTTAGATGTAGATATAAAATATTTTAAAATTCTACATAAATCATAAGCTCACAAATTTATATACTGACTGAGTACGGATATAAAAGTAGAGTCACGCACAAAGAAGCGACTCACACGTTCCTTCTCGTTTTTATTATAAAAACTCCCACAAAAGCCAATAATCTGTGTTGTTCACTATTCTGAACACTATTCTGAGGAAGAGAGGCAGATGTAAGGAATAACCGGGATCGAAAACAGATACAAAATTATAGAATTCGAATTAAATAGCTAATTGGGTGGAAAGAGGAAAAAGCGAAATTCGAGAATTAACACTAGAGCAGTCGGGGTTCAGCTCTGTCTCCCTATATTGTTCCCATCTATGATGGCAAGTGTGTCCAAAATGGGGGAAGATCGCGGTATTCCTTGCCTTATTGCATTCTCGGAGCAATGGGAGGAGATGGAATCAGTTGGGAAGAGTATACAGAATATATCAATTAAAAATAGTAACTACACAGCCTTGATTAGATTTAAATATTATTACCCAGTGGAAGCTTTGATTTGATAAAAACGGACATACCGTATATGTACGAGTATGTATACATACGTAAATATGTAAGCATGTATAACCTTCAAACTATCTGTTAAGCGGATTACTGTTCGGAGATACTCCCTTGTGTGCGCTTAAATTTTTGACAATTTTTTTAAAGATTTGGGGCTTAGAAATGGTTTGATGATATTTTTTTTTTTTCTATGGCAGAACTTTTTTTTGAAGAATTTTTGAAAACTGGTATTTTTTTTTTAAGCTTTTTTCAGAGGTAGCGCTTGTTTTTTTCACATAGCTCTAGTATCTTACGTCTGGTTGTAAAGAAATTTGCTATTTTGAAAAGGTAATTAAAACAGCTAGAAGTTAAGCCCAAATACTTTGTGATTTCAGCTTACCGTCTGGGAAATATAAAGCATTTAAATGCAAAAATGATGATTTTTGTGCGGAATTTTGTTCCCATTGGGAATTGGGATCGCGATCAGGTACCAAATGTACAACCCTTTTTTGTTTGCTTTGTTCCCAATTGGCAGTTGGGCCCGCAACTATCGAAAAGGTATTTTTTGTTAATTTTTTCCATATTTTAGGTTTAGTAGGTCCAAAGTCTCTCCATAGATTAATGAGCGATACCTTGAACGACGCCAAATTAATGCACCTATACACAAAAAAAATAGAATACACAGGATATAATTTTTTTTTCGACTTTTCCTGAGTTTTTAAAGTCAAAATTTCGTAAAAAATACCGCACAAAAATCCTCATTTTTGCATTTCAATGCTTTATATTTCCCAGACGGTAAGCTGAAATCACAAAGTATTTGGGCTTAACTTCTAGCTGTTTTAATTACCTTTTCAAAATAGCAAATTTCTTTACAACCAGACGTAAGATACTAGAGCTATGTGAAAAAAACAAGCGCTACCTCTGAAAAAAGCTTAAAAAAAATACCAGTTTTCAAAAATTCTTCAAAAAAAAGTTCTGCCATAGAAAAAAAACCATAATGCTTTTAAAAATTTTAAAGCCCCATATCTATCAGAAAAAGTCGGTTTGGATCCTTGAGGAAAAAAAAAGTTCGATTTTGTCGAGTAGTGTAATATATCCAAAGCATATGTGGTCAGAAACTAAATTTTTGACCGCCAACTAGTTTCTGCTCGTAAATTCTCGATAAATCGCAGTCCATCAGCGGTATTTTTTGTTTTGCTGTTGCCACTGTCATTTGAGCATTGTTGTTCAAAATATTTAGTACTACAGCAGAGCCGGGCGCACGATCGAAGCGAGTGCTCTGAGGACTTGGTTTCAATGGTACCTAATACGTTTGTTTTAATGTGAGAAAAAGTCTCCAATCCTATTAATAGATAAAAGGTACCAATGAAGTACCAGCCACATCGGATATTCTGGTGTTGGTTTAATTTGAATAATTCTATTACAGGATAAAAAACCACGAAAGACACTTTCTTGTCGACAGCCAGAATAAGTAACAACTGTAGGATACATGAATCCATAAATATTTAATAGCAATAATATATCCTAGGGATCCATAAATCATCGTCATCGTTTTGACAGTCCACCCTGATCGCCAGCAGACAAATTGAAAGACAAATCGACTTATGTATAATACCAGTTCGTAAATACTGATAAAACTAAAGCCAATCAAATATACTTTTGATCATGCGAAATGCACTACCTAGTGCACTCGTGTATTTCTGTTTGGGGATTGCTTAATGGTCGAGTATGTCTATTCCCATGAAAGTTGTCCTTACTTTGCCCGACATTTCACACAAATCCACAGTATATGTAGTAGGTGAAGCAAAAGTCTGGCTACAAACATCCAAGCGTGTTTAATATCACCGCTCTATTAGCACCTTCACCTGCACCTACCAGCATGTGACGGACAAAAGATAGCGTTTGCGATCCTGCACGTTTAATGTTATTCACGCAGAATAATCAAACCAGAATCAACAAGGATAATTATTATTACAATTTGACGATATCGGATCGGACAATTATTAAAAAACCAGACTGAACTTTATATTTATTACGTTGGCGGTGCATACAAAAATTCCCACTTTTGCCTGGATAGTTTGCGGCTTTCTTAAAGCCGGATGTGCAACAATTTACAGCGCTATTATCTTACATTTTGTAATCCAGATACAGAATACTAATGGTATGTATGTACATATACGAGTATTTATGTATATATTGTAGGGTGGATTATGTAGTCGGCATCTTAATTTCAGAGTAGATGGTGTTCGGGTATACAGAAATATGTATACAGAAATATGTACATACATACATATATCGGTAAAGAGATGATCCATCGGAAAATTGTTCATATTGGTTTTTCTATATCTTGTTAAAGTCTCTCTATGTATCCGTGTGCTTACGATTTAGCGTATCTGTATGTAAACTTTCACATATGTATGTACATATGTACATATCCATTTGGATTTTTTCGGTGGAGGAGGAGGGCAACGGAGCATTGTTGATGGTGTTGTGGCTGCTTGTGCGAATGGATTTTCAATACACTGCTCGCCGTGTTCCCTTGTGTTTGCACACCGAAAAATGGATTTCTATAATAGCAATGCTATACAAACTCGCGCAGAGTATCCCGAGTATTGTAAGTACATACATATGCGCTTAGATATTGGTGTGTACTACTCAATACTCGTACCATGTGCTCGTACATATTTTACTACAGCTCGCGCTTTCCGCTACGCGGTCCTGGTCCTCTGTCCGTCCCTAGCAGCGTCCGTATTTGATGTACAGCAGAAGCACCTACCCAGGAGTTGGATAATGAAGTCAGAGGCGCTTGGTACAATGGGCGGTGGAGGTAGAGGACTGGGACTCCATCCAAACCACACTCCCATGCTCTACCAGGAGCAAGTGACTTCGGGGAAAGCACAATGAACAGAAACAAATTAAAGCCATTTCCTATACCCTGTATTCCCTTCGCCAGTGTGCATTGCTAGACTTCTAAAAATCTGCGCATCAGACCAAATGGCTTAAAAATATCATTTACATATTGATCAAGAATCAGATTTCAGATTTCTTTCTTTTAAAGTAACTATGTATAGAATGCAGATTATTGGCACTGGGTATTGCCGGGTATTTTCTAGCTGCGCAATTTCAGCTTCTGTCATTCTCTCTTGTTTACACTGCTGTCAAGCGCCACGAAAGAATATTCGGAAATAATTTCACATGAAATTGAATGTCTGAATTTGCTTAGGTGTCAAGTGTCAGTTAAGTTGAAGACGGAACGACTGCATAGAGGAAATCGAATTTTCTTTGCTTCTGCCTCACCACCGCCCGCCCCACCTTGAATACTCTCGCACTCGTTTCTATATTGTTGTTTGCTCGTGAGACATTTACGATAGAACCAAAATTGGAGAGGGTAATGACTTCCCTTCCATGTTTACTTATACTATATACTATTTTACTATTCCCATATATGCAAGTAAAATATAAATTTTAACACAATTTACATTTCTGGATTCATTAATCTACAAACAGTGAATATGTGCCTGTAAATATGTAAATGGAGTTCATGGACTTCCAGCCTGCCAGGCCACTTATGCAATCTCAAACTGCGTTTTCTTTTGACTATACTATACATATATGTAATTTTTAATATCAACTAATTTCAATTGTTTGTCGTTGTTTGTTCTCAGCTCTCCTGGCCGCCACCTTGAGAACGTACCAGCGCGCAGGATGCGACTCCGAGCAACTGTCACTCAGTTGTCCACGCGGCACCAGCATTTCCATCGAGCTGGCTCAGTATGGACGGGCGGGTGGTAAGTCGGGGCACCGCACGTGTGGAAGAGGGCAGTCCTGCAGTGGTCTGGACAAGGAGTGGACGGGCTCGTCCTGGCAGCAATGTCTCAATTGATTGATTGCTGGCCAAAGTTTGTCCGTTACACGCGTCGATTGTGCGCATTGTGTTGTACTTGCCGGCGGGAATGGGAATGGGAACGGGAACGGGAACACGGACTTGGACGTGTTTGTGTCCCTGTGTGCTGGCACACAAAATGGGCAGCTTTGGAGGGGTATTTCTCCACCTCTACCATGTCCCTCGGACATGGGCCAAACAACAACGAGCCGGCCCACACACACGCCCATATCAAGTATCGGGAGATCGTATGGGAAGTAAATACAGAAAGGCTGGGCACTTGGGCCCTTGGGTCGGGGAAGGGAGAAGCTTTGGCGAAGCTTTTGCATTGAATGCTCCTATTATGGTACTTGTGTCCACTTGGCATGTGGCACTCCAGCCCACTCGGCCCACACTTGTCTTCCCCTCCCACTCATAGTATACTCGGATACCCGTACACCTGCCTTCTACACTTAAAAGCATTTCGAAATCGTCCACGACACGTTCACAAAAACAAAATTGCGCTCTCGTCCACTTGAACAGATTTAACCGACCACAGCCTGTGTCCACCCGTTTCGCAAGAGGACCTCACCACGACCGGAAGTGCCGGCGATGCTGTCATCCACAGTGGAACAGAAATCGAAGTCAAACCGCCGGAAACGTGTACCGTAAGCGGATTACAGGTAAGCAGAATCAGTATAATTGCAATTCCATCATCGTCGCACTCATCATCGATGCTGAAAGCAGGCAAGGCGAGGCGACCCGACGCTACGGACGCATTGCCAGTATTGACCTCACTGCGGCACTGGCTTGGGCAGACATACTCATGCTCGGACGAATGAGCATGTGTGTATGTATGTATGTACATATAGTATGTGCCATGTCCTTGGTGTACAGTGCAGCCGCTTCGGGACGGTCAGCAGTAGCTGTAGCTGGATGCCACTTGACAGCGGATCGGCTTACCCTTGTGCCCAATTTTATTTTCCCATTTTCCGCACGACTCTACAACGTGCATTCAAAGACATTCTCACACGTAGCCCATAAAAAGCCCACTCGCACATGTGGAGACAGCATAAATAAATCAGCGAAGTAGAACGATGCCATAAAAACAGCAATAATTCATAATAAAAATCGATTCGATTCACTTTGGCCAATGCGAAGGGATAAATCATTTGTGCCCGTGGGAGCAGTATGAGTGGGCTCCACCACTCCAGTTCCTGCTCCTCGAAGCAATGTCCTAAGCTCAACCAACTATTCAAAATAATTTATAAAATACATTTTTACATCCGGATCCGGATGCGTTCCTCAGACCACTTGCAAGTTGCAACTCGCTTTAACAGTTCGACCCATGGAGTCATTTGATTGTTTGATAATCCACAGTCGTCTCACTACCACATTCCCTGTGCCTTGTCCTTGTCAGTGGTATCAGTATCAGTGCAGTCAATGTCGTGGTTAATTTCCCGTCGAAGAATATCCCATAAAGACTGATTAATGTGTGTGCTGCTCGGCCTTGTTGCGTTTCATTAGGCACATCAATTTGAAGTTAGTCAATGCCGCTCTCAATGTCTGAGTGTGCCGTTGTGTGGGATGTGGGATTTGTGGCCAAGTGCTGGGAAGAAGCAGAAGCAGCGACAAATCAAATCCAGAGCAGAGGATCCAATTTGACAGGAGCAAAGGCATTTACGCTGCTGTCTCGGAACTTGCATAGCCCGGAACTAAACTTTTACGGTCTCCACATCCCCTTGTGGGGATAAATGGCGCAGAGAGGAGAATGGCCTTAACTGGATTCGCGAGGGCATGTCATTCTTCTTGGGGGCAGTGCACGGCGATTCTGCCACAGCAAACAAATTATTAGCCCTCTGTCCTGACACTGACACAAAAGGACCACAAGCAAAGAACGCGGTAACTTGCGTTCACCTACATGAAGGTATGGGAAATGTCCATATCTACATACGAATAGTATATATGTGCCCGATAGTCTACCTAATTGATTGGAATTCCAGGATATTTAGCACTGCCCTTTCCTCACGGAAACATTTCCATTATCCGGAATGATAAGCGCTGATAGCTCGGTGTTCTCTCGTCCGTTCATCATTTTCTGACTAGCCCAAAGCAATTTGATGATTTCAGACGATTAAAGCTAATTTCAGGAATGAAAATTATCGGCTTTTCTTTTGTGGCAAAGCTGCCATCTGCCACCTCTATAATTACAGATTAATCGCCGGCTAAGGCAATTTTATTTAAATTACTTGAAGTCCAGCTTGGAGACAATGGAGTAATATTCAATTTTTACTTGCTGCCACAGTCCCTGACTCATTTTCATCGCCAGATTATGTAATTCTGCCTCTGTTTTACGCAACAAGGGGGGGACTTTCATCTCAGTATCTGCCGGATTTTTATGGCATTAAATATTGTTTAATCCATGGGCCTGGCTTTTGGTTCGCCGGGAGTGCAAGGATTTACGAGTTGACTCTCAAACCGTTGCCTTGGCTCCGCTCCAAGAATGCCTCCGGAACCCTATTGGGACAGATGTGCCCAATGCACGAACATTGGTATCCCAATCGAATCCTGCTGCAGTACCTTCCTCCCGCCCATACATGCCTCAAATGCCGTTCTGTCTGGTTTCTTACAGTACGCCCTCCTGCAGACGGTGGTCGATGCCTGCCAGAAGAAACGGCACTGCAAGTTTGCCGCGAATTCCAAAACGCACACCACTGGAGATCCCTGTTCGGGCATACGGAAATTCGTCGAGATTGCCTACAAATGCCGCCCATGTAAGTATTCCAGCGTCTATCCAGCCAGGCCCAAAACCACTCCAGTCCGAGCCAAGCAGCAGCTCAGTGTGTGCATATGCACATTCATTGTCGGATGCAATCGATTGGAATATGTCGAGTGAGGCGCAGGACCTGCCAGGCTGCAGACGCCCTCCTCGACGTCCCCGCCGACGACACACATGAAATATATTATTTGCTGTTCGATAAGATAAATATTTGCCTGCTGCAAAAGTGGCAAATATCAATTTAAGTTTTTGAGCAAACAAACAAATTTGTGTCGGCTGAAACAGATAAACAATATGGGAGTGGTGTCGTTGAATTGGCAGCCAACGAGACCTTCGACAACATTCAACGTTTAAGTCGGACTTATCCGATCAACCGAATATTTAAATGCATCGAGTGTGTATCAACAATTGGATTAACCTTAGAGAGAGTTTAATTTAATGATTGTTTTGAAACTCGGAAAAGGAAGCGTCGCAAGAATTGAATTTTGGTTGGAAGATAAGAGTGTTTTTATAGGGACTCCAAGTACTCACAGAATACTATGTGAATACATTTTCAGTAGCGTAGAAATAGATCGAAATCGACATAAGATTGAAATTAAGACACAGTTTGTCCGATTATATTATGTATGCTTTATTTGCCGTGCAAGGCGAGTGGGCGGATTATGGGGCGAGAATTAACAACAGGCGGACCCGAATAGGAGCGTGTTTAAGCGAGAACAAGAGGTTCGGTAGAGTTCAATGTAATGATGTGGCAGTCAGGTGACTGTGATAGATTTTGAAGTGTCTTCTGCCTTTTCTGAGGAGCCTCCCCCACAGCGGCTGACGAACGCCGAGGAGGAGCAAAGCACCAGCAAGAGCATAAGGAAAGGCAAACAAAACGGCGATAAAGAGAGACGTTACATTAGGAGATATATGTTCCATATGCTCAACTGCTCTTTGTGCTGCCATGGGCCGGCACTTAGCCGAACACTATGTATAATGTCGATGTACATACTTTCATTCATTTGTGCGTCTCCTGCATCGTGGCATTAAAAGAGAGAGATGCTTTGTGGACATTTCAGGACTAAAATCACATAAATCTGTTTGGCGGATATCCTTCAGTCGGATATCGGTCTTAATTGAATACTGGTTTTCCTGCAAGAAGGGGAAGTGTGCTCGGTTGGCCACTGCCAAGCTATCCGCTTTTTATATGGGGGCCTGGTTTCAGTAGTCCTGGTTTCTGGACTTTCCGATTTGATTCTGCTGAGAGCTCCACGAGCGATGCAGCTGCGCTCGTTAACAATAGTTGTGTAAACTTTTTGCCAAACTATTTGCATAGTTTTGCGCAGCGCATTTTGTGCAGCTCCGTTTGCCTTCGCCTTCGCCGCCGTCTCCGTCTCCCTCTCCGTAGCGATGGAGCTAATGGCACCGATTATTTACGATCCGCTTGGCCATTCGCGTTTAGTCACTCGGGGGCCCGGAGCACTTGGAGTGGAGGCGATAAGCGAACTGATGTGACTTGCCACTTGCTACTTGCTACCGGCAAGTACTAGTAGACACCTGCCCCAGCCCAGCCAATCGCAGGCACTGTCTCGGTGCGCGATAAACGAGCTCTTAATGCGCTCCGCAGCAGGGCAAACGCATTTCCGATAAATGCAGATGTCCTTTGGATGCTGTGTATAAGAGTTTGTGTACGGCTGACTGGCTGGCCGCCGACTCCAACGCGAAGGTGCCGCTTTGGAGCTGGTAAATATGTAATTCTTTAGTAATTTATGCTAGACCCGGCACCGTTTTTACTTCCTATTTATTTGCTGTGTCAAGTGAAGCAGATGTTATCTCGTTAAGCAGCGCACAAACACACCAAAGCCAGAGAGAACACAAAAAGCGCACTGGCAAAGGAAAGCATCGTGCTGGTGCTGGTGCCAGTCAAATTAGAAAAGGGAAGTGCAGAACGGCCGGGAAAAGGCCACATGTACAAGTACGAGTACTTAGTCTACTCAACGTAGCCGTAGCCCTGTAAATGGTAGGCGGGATGGGATGGGATGGGAAGGGAAACGAAAGGAAGATTCAGCGGAGGGATGTATGTGGTGGCGACAACCGACAACCGACGAGCAACGAGCGACGAGCGGCTCGGGGCCGCAGCCCAAGCCCAAGCCGGGGGTAATGTAATTAAGGAGACTCTTTTTTTTCTCTTTTTTCCCTAAATTGTCTGTTATCTTTTGCTCATTAAGGACACCAGCGACAAGTAATAAAACTGCAAAGTACGAGTGGCAAACGTTGAAAAATAACGGCCGGGTTATGTGCGTGGAAAGGAAGGGGACGCCGAGCGTCCATGGTACACCGTACCATGCGGATAAGGCGGATGAGGCCGATGCAGAGCCTCGTCCTGAGCTGCACGACCCAAGCAGCCAGAGACAGCGCATGGCCCCAGCTGGCCGGCTGAAAGAGCTGTCGGAAGGGGCGCCTGGGGAGTGGTTTGTGCGGGCGGCACATTGTGGTCATAAAAAATGCCAATTTTCAACTTTTCTCACGTTTAGCCGTAATAAAACGTGTACTCTCCGAAGAACCAAGGAATCACGGCTTTCAATAGGTCGCCTACCTCCGTTAGGCGGAGAGCACACGAGGGCGTGCGTGCACGTGCCCCTAAGGCCTGTGGAAAAGACCAAACCAACCAGGAAAACCTTTGGGCAAAGGCCCAACCCCCAACAGTTAACCAAATATTTACCAAATTTATTAAACTTTGTCTCTGTCCGCTCTGTTGGTGCTGAAAGTTCCACTTTCCATTTGTGCGTATACATAATACACTTACCCTGAATAACAGGGTACAGTACGCATCGTACTGGAGCATAGCTACTGGAAGCATTGCTACTCGTACCTTGAGACCGAGATGCCCGATACTCAGCTGATAAACTCGAATAATGCATGCATTTATTAACTCTCTGCGTAACTTATTTATTTCTGTGACATAGGGGCGCTCAGACTGAATATCTTTCCGGTTAGACATCAAATAAATATAAACTACAGCTGCCACAACTCGTTATCGATTTTCATGAACTGAAGGACTAGAAACAGTCCGTACTATCCGAGAAAAAGGGAGTGACACGTGCTGTCAAAATGGGTTCCCTGCATTTTGGCAGTAATACATTTTGGGGGCAACAGTTTGAATTAAGTTATGGGATAGTCCGAGAATTAGTTATTTTCACTGAATATCTATCTTCATTTATCAATTTCTGCTACACCCTCGTTTAATAAATAAATACACATTGTCGGCTATTCCTAAATCGATATGCATCTGGGAAGACTGGCATTTCCATGCACTGAGAGGTTCTACTGGCTAAAGAAGAATACCTGTGGGGTTGTTCGTATATATTTACATATGTATATGTACATATATGTACAATGCACGTTGCCGCAATAATATTCATGTTTTCCCCACTTTTTACTTAAATATATTTATGGCCCATACCTTCTCCATTCCGTTTCCATCCATCGCAACGACGTGGATGTCGATGTCTCAGACGAATTCCGAAGCAAGGTGGCCTGCGAGAACGACAATATGCCGCTTGTGTGTAATCCGTACTCTCGCATCGCTATATACAGCGCCTCCTTCGGTCACACAGAACGGGAAAGCGTTCAGTGCGGGGGCCAGAGCGCCGGAGCAAGCACTGGCACCAGCGAAGACAACGGAAAGCCGAGTAAGTAGGGGTGGCTGGGTGGCTCGGTGGCTGCATAGTGGTGTAACGCTGGACTCTTCATTGAAATACTTTGCAGCTTGCCTGGTGTCGTACGCCACGGAGACCGTGATGCAGATATGCCATGGCCGTAGACGCTGCTCGGTGACCGCCGATGCTGGCACATTCGGTCGTCCGTGCAAGGCCGATGTGCGGATGTACCTAAAAGTTGTGTACACATGCAGTGAGTACCTGGCTTGAGTCTTGAAAGCTGCAGCGAAAACAAAGGCTTATTAACACTCCCCCCCACCATTGGCAGTTCCCCGCAAAGTGCTGAAGGATCGCTACGAGACTGCGCCGGAGAGCGACGAGCCACAGCAGTCTGAGCTCGACATGGACCAAGATGAGCTTTATGACGAAGACCAATTCTACAAAGAGTCCGAGGCCATTCCGCCAGCCCCCAAGCTCCAGGGCGCTATTCCGAATGCCGGCATGCCCTTCGACTTCGGAAAGGGCGCCCTAGGAGTCGGTACTTCAAGCACACTCCTCCCCCCACTTCTTTCGAGGGACGATGGCTTATTAGAAGGTGAGTAATAAAATTTTGAAGGGGCTGTGAAGATAGTACGGTATTTGATTGGCCAACACATCGCCAGAAGAGTCTGATATTCGATAGATACCCCTAAACTAGTTAGGATGATGGATCATAGCTGTCGTCGAATGTGCTACCGAGACTAGAGACCTTTTCCTTTCACAGAAAGACTTGAGTCATCTCTGAGGCTGCTAGATCGGATAAGGGCAGCATTGCACCAAGACTTTGTCCCTGAGATAGCAGAATCGGCGGCACACACGACAGCGGCAAGTGACGATATCGGTGCAGTCGCTATCCACAGCAGCACCGAAGGTACAGAATTAAATTCAATATCGCCTGAAACAGATGCAACTAACGCCGCTGATGGGAACACTATTTACCACCGCAAGTGCGTTAATGTCGATGATTGGGGAGTCATCGGACTGAACTGTACCGAGGAGGACATCGTTGCGGAGCGGGTCGAGGTCATTGGTTTCTTGGTAAATTGGCTGAGCTCCTATGTCCATATACGAAGTGAGTGTGGACGTCCCTCGCTTCCATACAGCATACGTTCGTTTTTGCACGGAACCTTCATGTGTAAATAATCAAAGTTTTACTTCACACTCGCACATACAAAACACGTATACAATATGCCGGAATAAATATATGTATGAGTGAGTGCTGAAGGATCCACCCACACTGATAGCATTTACCACGGAAAAATCACGTCCCAACACTCTGCAGACGACCGACAATAAGTGAGCGTGGTCGGGCTGGCTCCCTTTCATTCCTGATGAAAGGCCTTGCTGAATGCTGTCATAAGCAGTAAAGTCAACTCAGCAAGCTAAACATGTAGCACACAAGCTTGCAGCTCTCCCCCCCACCCCCACACGGAAAAGTTTTCATTTCATTTATGTCCCTTGACACAAACATCCGAGTTAAAGCTAAAGTTCAGCCCGGCTTGCCTTGCCATGGTTCCCCTAAAGGCAGGCTACGCTCCGACCTTCGGACGTGTTCGCAGGACACGATAACTTTCTACGCCATTAGCATAGTCCACTAACACTATTTGATGTGAATACTCGATTCCCCCAACCGCAGTATGTGCTTATTGGTTTCTTTCTTTCATTGGCGAGCAGAACATCAGGAGCAATTTTACCTCTACCTAATCATATCGGTGGCGGCTGGCGTTCTCCTCTGCCTGACGCTTGTCATCGGCCGGCTCACGCTACAGAAACGGCGCGGTGAACGGAAGAACAGCAGCTCAAGTGGCGGCGGGGTCGCCAAAGCCTTTGCTGATACTCAAGGTGGCAGCACAGGTGTCGGCAATGGAGGAGCAAGCAAATTTCAACAGACGGCAACAGGAGAATCTCACCTGCCAGACTCCTTTGCAGATGACATATCTGACGTCGACGCCGACATCGACTTAACAGGTCCGATGCCATTGCCCAGCTTATCGTCTCGGAACGAGGTAAGTAGCCCCACCATTCTTTTCACTTTTGTATCTCCTATGGTGCAATCTATTTTGAGGGTCAGCTGTCAATTTGTATGTGTACAATACGTACAGAAGACAGAAAACCATGATGAATGTTGTTTATAGCAATTAAAATCTTGCCATGGCTCTCATATAATCCTTAAGACGTTTTCTGGCGATCTTTTTAATCATCCTCGTGCAAAAGAAATATCCCTAATATCTGTATGATACCAAAGGAGAGGGTTACCGATTGACTCACCCCTTGTACAGTGGTACAATAATGCGAAGTGTCCCTCAATCCATCACATTAAATACTCTGCAGCCGCAAAGCGAAGATTGAAGGCTTACCCCACTACCCCTCTACCCAGCCACCCTACCCCCCTTCACAGTTAGTGTCTCAGACAGCAGCCATTGTCGGATAGTCGGAGGTAAATAGTCATTTCTAATTATGTAGATCTCATTGTTGGTGCAGTCGACCATGTGTGGCGAAGTGGGAGCACAAAAGTTAAAGAAAGCCGAGCATTGTTTGTGATGGAAACTGGGCGTGGGGAGGAGGCTTCGTTTGCTGGCTGTTGCCAGCAGGCGAGTGAATGCCATTGTGGCGGAAGGGCAGGGAAAAGGGAAAGTGCAGTTCTTTTCCTCTTGCCATTAAATCCTTTTTTCGCAAACAAAGGACCCTAGACTTTAAAGCGCTGGGAGTCGTCTGCCCAGCCTGCCTGCCAGGTGGAAGCATCCTTGCTCCAAATGCTCGCTGCAACAATTTCTTTGCCCTTTGTTTGCTCCATGGGTACGGAGAGGAAAAGAGCAAAAACAACAGGACAGCAGGGCATCCGATGCACATATAGTACTTACACAGCCACATATACGTATACGGTATGTACATATGTATGAGCAATCTTTATGTCTGCTCAGTCCACAAGCACACATTGCCCTGTGCTGCCCTGTGCTTTTCATACCCTATAAGTTAGTCCGATCAGCTCAGCCGTCCGTTCAGGCACGCTCTTTCCCTTGACCTTACAATCATTCTGACTTCAGATCTGATTGTTGATCATAATTATACCAATTATAATTGCTGGGTTGGAAGTTCTTGGTATTTTTTCTCACTTTTATACCTATGTACACATATGTACTTGATTATACGGTATAACTTATTCTTTTACACTGGCTTGGTAGCGTAGAGTAAAGGGCTGGAATCCCGCAATAGTCGCGTCTGACACCAAGCCGACCAAGTCATTCCAGCCAACGCCAACGCCAACAAGCACTAATGAGAGAGAGAGAGAGAGCCCAGCCTAACCCCATGCCCCACTCTGCTCTCCCTTTTCATGCCCATTATGGTCGCGCCGTCACCATGAACACATATACAAAACTGACGATGGGCTGGCAAACAAAAGACCTACATGACATACGCACCGACGCCCAAGTGCAGCTACGGAGGCTTACCAGGCGCACCCTACCAGGCGCACCCTACCTCTGGAGCAACTACCGTTCTGATGGCCCCGCACTCGCAGGCCAACAGCTACACTACCATGGGCCATCCCACAACAAGCGGGCCTCTGACAATGGGTGAGAAACGTGCCAAGATGCGGTCCCTTTGCTAATACTCAATTTAATTTGCAAAATCGAATGTTTCCGCAGGTCCCCACTTTCTTGGACCCTCCGGACTGAGCACGGTTTCCCCAGCGTACTTAAGCGGAGCTGTCATGGTGGCCGGACATCACCACACTCTGCGACGCACGCTGATACCCACCAGCATGGGAATAATGAGCTCCCCCTCACCACCACCGACTTCCATGAGTACCGGCCATCCTCTGCCGCTAGCCGCCATGCCCTCAACCTCGAACAGCGGTTGCGGGGTCTACTATGACAGCACCGTGCCCCGAAATCTGTCCCGTGGCGTGTCAGCAGAGAGCAGCGCCCAGTACTTCTATGGGTGACACTCGCTCAACCGGAAGGCTTCCTTGCCGATCGCAATCGCAGTGCGACCCTCTCACATGGGCTTCAACATGCTGCCGCTGACGGCCACCATGGCCTCCAGTGTCGATGGCGGAGCAAGTCGCTCAGGGACCCCTACTAACAGCAACCAGCCGGACATACCAGCAATCACCGTGACTGCCTCGCCAGGCAGTCATGCCTCAATGGCTCTGCCGAACAAACTGCTCACACGGAAATCTCCCAGGTCCTTTGGGATTATGCAGCCAGAGCAGGAGTCCCAGCAATCTTCCAAATCGACCAGCAATACTGAGAGTGGTCTGCAGATTTGCGCGTCTGGGCGCAGTCAGTGCTTCTAGGAACCAATATCGTCGACTGCATTTAGTGGGGAATGCTTCGAGTATGCGGCGGCTGTACAGTGACGTCTATGCGACGAGGATATATTTTATTTGTAAATATTGACAGACTTGTTTATTCCTAAGTAATTAGACCGTTGTGTAAGAAACTAGATATTAACTGATTGCCAGAGATTTTAAATTCTAACCGCTGTTAGAGGCTAATCAACCGTTGACAACCGTTGACAACACAAACCAACCTTCTGGGAGTGGTACGAACATAGTTACGATGCATAGCTAGTCCCGTATGAGAGGATTTGATTACGTTTATATCGCCATATTACGTGTAAGCACACAATTACCAGCAATATGATAGTACCATGTACTACCCGTTTAAACATGCATTTATACATACCTACAAATGTACTTACTCATAGATCAATGAACATTACAGGCAGTCATATTCACACTCTGCAGTATAATGCGGTTAGGCAGGTGTAACTACACACATATTGTAGTGTAGAAGTTTTAGATATTGCCAAAATTATGTTTATTGAGTTATTAAAATTTGAACATGCATAGCAGATTGTAATTTCACGTTAGTCATAAGCCATATTCAAAATGAAAATTAACAGGGAGAGTTTGTTAGGTCCGGTCCACGTTGGTGACCAGGCGATGACTAGTCTAGGGCTAGGATACTCGTGAGCCCCCCGCTACAGATGCACAGTTGCGTTCGTTTGTGCTTAATACCCATAAATGGAACAAATTTAACCATTCATACCGTTAACTTTGCATAATAGTACAAGTCTAAGCAATCCATGAACATTAGCGTCTGGTTGCAGCTGCAATTGCAGGTTAATAAAGTTAATAAAGTTGTAAAGCTGCATTGGAGTACGAGTATCATACACAAAGAGAGGAGGAGAAAGACCCTCCCCAGCGTAGTTTGACATAAGATCCTAGAAATTGTTAAACACTTTCGGATAACTAGCCATATACTCGTAGTCAAATGAGCTAGTTGGTCTCAATAATGTGAATGTTACTTCCAGTCCATCAATAATCGAACAATTGTTTTCAATGCCAATGGTTCACTACAAGCGAATGCGCACATATTAAAGATACTTCTTCTATAGGATTAATGAGAGACCAGATGCGACTCCAATTCGGCAGCGTAAACCATTTTTATGATTCACAGTAATTTTTGTTTGGGGCTAAATATTGAAACACAGGGTAATAAATATATATACGTATTAAAATAAATATTTCCCTTACATCTGCACTCACCTTTACGCAGGACTTCTTACAGGGCTAACACAGGTATGTATGTATTATGAAATAGTTTCATAAAACCAAATCGGTGTTTGAATCGAATTTAATTGGAAGATAACTTTGGAATATAACTGTTTCTAAACTCTTGAATGCTCTCCGCTAATGAAATATATTTGTACAGTAAAATCATTATGAAGCACGCGGCTTATTTTGCGCTATTTTGCCCATTGGAGCTGTCTTCTAGAAGGAACTGTCCACCCGAGTCAAGTATTAATATTTTCTTCAAGGGTATGCAAAGAATGCGCTGGGTAGTGCGTAAGTACTGGGTACCACTGCAACTACACACATAAGCCAGTCGCATACTGCAACTTCAGAAGTTAATTGCTCAACGGGTAGAAATCCGACTGCAACAAAAGCATTCAATAAGCACACAAACGGGAATGCCAGTGACAGGCAGGTCCAATCGGGAAAAGCGCTAGCTGGTTGTCAGAGGGAGGTCGGAGGAGTCGGCCTTGCTTGATCTGCGCGTGGCAGGCTCAACTCGAGTGAGTACCCAGGAACAGGGGAGCAGAGACATGGTCGAGTCGGAGCCAGGCAGACTTACGTTTACCCTGAAACGATGACGATGTCGAACTTGAAAGTCGTTTGCTTATTCATTGTCTGCAGCCAACTACAGAGACTAATGGACTGCAATTGATTAGGTCTGTCCATGATGATGGAGCAGCATATAGCCGATGCAAGCACATGCACAGACATTCACAGACATTCACAGACACTCATAAGTGGCCCAAGTGGAAGTGGACTGCTCTCATTACGAAAATGTCTTGGGGAATAAGTTTTTGTTTCTGTCGACAGGACTTGGTGTCCTTACTAGCCTCGTAGTAATGTTAATGGGCACCCAAGACAAGCCCTCTCAGCCGGTTGGTCACCCGCTTGCCAGTGCCAACGAGTTGTTAATTGCGCCCTGCCAGAAGTGGGCACCTCTGGAAGCATGGTTAATATATTGAAGTGAAACTTCTTCATTTGCACCACCAGTAAAAGTCTAATTATGATAAGTGGCTGCAAGTAGTTGGCAGTGGCAGTGCCACTGGCAGAGACAGAGACAGCGACAGAGCCAGATAGAGAAATTAGACGGGAGGATGTGGATGGCACCCACCGACAGTGGCCAACATGCAGAGTAAGTACTTCAAGCGGGGCTGTGGGTACGACAACAAAACTTTTTCAATTATAAATATTAAATAGCCACAAGCACTTTGCAATAAATTCCCCTTGCAAATGAGTAGCGAACAATGTTCCACTTAATGAACCTCAATCCGAGGATATTCAAATGCGTTCCAATGTTTTTAACATACAAAACATAAGTATGTATCAGGTAGCTTTAAACTTTAAAGTTAAAAATAAATAAAATATTTACTCGTACAAACCGAACACAATTCCATGAAAATTATAAATCCTTGCATCTGTAGATATATTTTCATCAGTTCTATTTATTCCCGTGTCTAACGCGTAGTGAGTGTTGTGTAGTGGAGTGTGAGTACCTTGAGGATTAATGAACAGAAGAAACATTTCAGCCAGTCCCGCGTGAATGCCGTACGTAATATTGCAGGGCATAATCATAATTCCACATAGAACTGTGGAAATATAAGCTGCATTTCTTTTTCACCCACATACATGTACATATGTATATGTGGGGTATACATATATGTATGTATATAAGTGCCAGCCACTTCTGTTTGTTCAATTAAACAATCAAACACACGAAGTATGTACAAATAAAACCTACATACATATGGATGCATGACTCTCTGAAACTTTGCTACATTCACAACGTCACCACATTAAGTTGAGGAGTTTTAGAATTTGCACCGAGAATACTGCTAATGGATACTGCTATGGATGCCCATTTTTTCCGTTATAGTTTGCTTGTGCAGTGTCGTGGAAGCCACCTTAGTTGTTGCTCTTTACACAACATATGGATGTATGTGTGTGTGCGTGTGTGTACATATGACAGACTGGGCTTAATTAAGAGCTCCGTTGACGCAAACAAATAAAATTAAAGATGTAAACAAATGCGTCCTCAGACCGAAACGGTGTCAAAATTCTTGTCACTTCAAATGCGCCCCCAAAGTGTTGCAATTATGCTTACTCGTATTTACCGCGCACAGATGCCATGCCCAGCCCACAGATGTGGCTGACAAGCAGGGCATTAGAATACACACCGGCGAAAGCCGGAGAAGCAAAAGCCGTCAGAGTTTGCCGGAATGGAAGAATAGGGTAGCCTGCACTTGCTTTTGAACGGTTAGAGTTGGTGGGGGTGTTAAGTGGAGTCTCATTTTTCTGGCCCACCCTCTGGCAGCCCCTGCTGCAGTTGAAGGTGACAGGCTGACTGTAGCTGTAACATGTGCTTAACCCAAAACACGGCCACCCAAGAGGCGCTCAGCCGCTCCTCACAGCAACCTAATTGCAGTTTTTTATACTCGTATGTTGCAACTGCTTCCGAAAGAATTATGGGCATGAAATTTAAAAGGGGCATTCCTGGAAGGACTGCTGGAAATCACAGCCCGGCAGCTAGGGGCTCGTTCCCAGAGGAAAAAAGGGGCAAGGCAACGTTAACTGCAGCAATTCCCACATGGTACATAGGTATATGTAAATGTAAGTACCTTTGGCTTCCTCTGATCTCCGTAAGGTCATAAACATTGAGGTTGCAGTGCAAAATCGATGGGATAAGCATAATGAAGAAGTTTAACTGCAGTTGAACTATTGGTGCCAGGCTCCTCTGGTTATGTTACTCAAAATCCATTCTGTCGTTTATTAGTACAAATATTTGAAGCACATTTTCGACAGCGTAAAGACTTAAAAGTATATTCGGCACAGCGGATTGGCTCTCTTACACCCCTGAAGTATATATTCTTGAGGATGACAAGTCCAGTGGATCTAGCGATGCCCGTTGTCTATCTATTTCCATGCAAAATAATTTTCCTAAATAGGCGATTCGTTTGTCGGTATCGGACTTTAAGGTATTTGTCTATCAGATTACTTTGACTTGGGTCGAGTTCCGATCTTTGGGGCTCGGAGTTATACTAGATGCTTCAAGAGACGAAACGTTTCAAAACGGTCAAAAGAGTCAGATAGTTGTAGTTTCGATCGGAAGAACAACAAGAATAAGTGCCCAAATATGTTTTTCTTCGAGTCTTCAGAGTCTGATCCACGCCAGAAACCACGACTGGAAGTAGAGCAAAGAAATGAGGGCAAAGACGGTCACAGGCCCCTGACGAGATTTCCGCAAATACCAGAGAGGACGGATTACTGTATCCCTAGTTATCATATGTCACAGCAGTGTGTTCCAAGCAGAGATTGTAGCAATTAAAGAGGATCCTCACAATGACTTCTGCAGCTGCAGCATTTTATTAAATATCATTTGTCAAAAGGAACAGGCTAAATAAATGAACTGAAAAGTGTAGGCTCAGAAATTAATCAAACGGAGTACACCGATGTGTCGAAACCATTGGCTAACATTTGCTGATCTATCCAGTCTCGGGCCAATGCCACGTTAGCATATGCCGCAGGCACCTCATCATTGCAGCCAATTCCCCAGGCCACAATACCGCTCTGTTGATAACGATTCTCTGAGGCAAGTCCAATGGGGCAGGCAAGTGGGGCGCCACCATCGCCCTGGCAGGTGTCCACGCCGCGCTGGCCGCCTGCGCACATAAATGACTTATCCAAGGCAAACTTAGGGCCAAGTCGCGTGCCCCGCAGTCGTGTTTGGCAAGTGTTAAAGTCCACGACAGGCAGCGGCACACTTTTCATTATTACACTGTATTTTCCCGGAGATCCGAATACATCCTTGCCCCAGCCAGTGGAAGTACAGGTAACGGAAGGAGCGGCACTTTCACCTTGTCGTGGCAAGCAGACCACATTGATATGATCGTCCAAAGTAACCGGCTGAGCGAGAATAACAAGCGCATAATCATTAGCTATGTTTCGACTTTTGAATTGCGGATGTGTAATGATGCGTTGCACGGTTCTATCTTGATAGGGGAGACGCTCTTTAGTTGTTTGAGAGTCCCACTCGCCAGCGCGGACCATCAAGCTCCCCGGAGCATGAGTCTCGACACAGTGCACCGCAGTCAGAACCACCTGCGGGTGTATTAGTGAACCGGCACAGAAATAGCTAAAATTGCCAGAGTGCAGCAGGGCCACTGTCCATGGAAACTCGCCAAAACCAGCTTCATTCTGAGTGACACCGGAGAGCGTAAAGTCCAAACCACCAACGTTGCGAATGCCGCAGCCCCGGGGCTGGTTCGGTCGTTTATCCAACGGCGTCGGGTTCAGCGTCTCAGTACGTGTCCTGTTGCCAGCACAGCATATGTCCACGGAGGATGGGCAGACTGGATCGTCATCGTTAAAGCGGATATCGATCACACCGAATCCGTCGAACGTCTCGTCCTCTGTTACACTATTGGTAGACGGGTCACATTTGTAATAAGGAACACAATTGCACGTAACCGTCTTTCCGCTTATAGAGTTAAAGTTCGTCAGTTGGCTGGAGGGATCTATTGGCACTGGTGTTACTACTACCCCAAATCCAGTAGGTGACTGTGTTAAAGGTCGATTGTTTGCCGGGATACTTGGATTGGTATTGAATATTTCTTGAATGTTTTTCTCCGCGTTCGAGTCTTGCTGCGGAGCCCCATTTGCACCCAAGGCTAAAAGGGCGGCCAATATTACCAAGGGGCAGAGGTTTCTATTTCCATTCATCGTAGTCTGTAATTAAAAAGAAACGGATACTATTTGTACATATTGTGTAGGTGCTGGATGAATGGATACGACAAGTAACATCCTGTTCTGTCCTCTCCTTCTGTTTAATTACAAAATGCTCGTATGTCAATCCATCCATTTGTCGGAATCACGCTGCCCCGTGGAGAAATAGTATCTTGTCTTGGCTAGAAAATCTTGTTTGTTTCTATACTAAAAAAAACTACATTAATCTGCCGTATGTATATGGACATACATATGTACATGTACATAGGTATGCATCTCAGCCGTTTCATTCGGTTGCGTATTTACTTTCTTTCGTAAGAATTACTACTATACTTTGGGAAAACTATTTTGCAATGCAGTCTGCGTGTTCTACATGCAGCTACTACTTATTTCTAAGATACATATTTTTCACACTGCCAAGTCCATTGGCCCTTGTTACAACCACAGAATATCATACAAATGTGAGAAATTTCAAATTAAAAGCCCGAACAACACATTACTCACTTGTTTCTTAATTTTAGTATAGCCTTGACTTATCGGCGAAATTATGAGTAACTTTAAAATTGAGGCAAAACCCAATCTTATTTGATAACCTGCCTTTGGTGTTACTAATCTACGGGGTACGGGCTACGGACAGATAGTGGCGCTTCCAAAGCTGTGAACACGAACGAAGCTTCGCGGCGACTGCCGCGGAAAGCTGGAATCAAATGAGATAAGTAAGTCGAGCGATTTAAAATTCAAGGTATGTACGTAGCCGCACGAAGCCTCGAAATCTATATTATTTGCAAAACTTATTGTCGACTTGAAAAGGCAGAGAGTGCTTTTGTCTCTCGAGCCCTGATAAGAGTTGAGATGTGCGTGTAATGGGAATATGAAATTAAGAGCGACTGGAAATGCTTTGATATGAGAATGTAACTACTCGTATTGAACAGTTTCCTGTCAAACCGGTTTATTTATATATATACCAGTGTGCTTATTCAAGCTGATTCAACACTCTTCTCTTCGTTTGAAGAGATGAGACTTAGCCTGCTGAGCTTGAAATTGTTTGGGCCCTTCTTTCTGCTGTGGCTCTTAATACATGCATATGCGATTACAATGCGCGCCACTTGAATAGGGCACCCATCGAGACCTTAGTTTAAATTAAAAATGTGTAAGCACTCTTAAAGGAGCAGCTGCATTTTTCAAGGATTCAAATTTGTTGATCCGAACTCCTTCTTCTTTCTTTAGGGCGCCAGAATTGAGGTGAGTATACAATATTCACACTAGAAGATCAAAGCACAACTGAGTTTTTCATTGTTCTGGTTGACATGGCTCTCGCTTCTGTCAAGTAAAGATTTCAGCAGTCGAAATGCCTTTTTAAACGACTTCCCTTCTTTGGGCGCGACTCTACTTTTATACCCGTACTAAGTCATCATATGTGATTAGCTTATGATTATGTAAAATTTCTAAATATATTATCTGTTTAATTTTTTTGGTTGCTACATCTCCTCCGCCAGAGGTCGCAAAGAGAGAGAGAGAGAGAAGAGAGAGAATGAGTAGCGCAGCAGCGCTGGAAAGGGGTGGGTTAGAAATATCTTAATATCTTCATTCTGGCTATAATAATTATTATATTCATTATAATCATCCGATCTGAACCATATTTGGCATTCTGGTAGATATGGCCGTCCTGGGCGACACTGTTTTCTCTGTTGTTTGTATCTTCAAAATTATGGACACCACAGATATTGTATTTTTGTGGTGGGGAAGTGGGTAAGGCGAAATTTTGAAATGCACTTGTAACATTGTTATATCACATAGGTCTGGAAACAAAATTTGGTTGCTCTAGCTCTTATAGTCTCTGAGTTCAATGCACTCATCAAGACGGACGGACAGACATGGCTATTTCAGCTATTTTTGCTGATCAAATATATATATACTTTATGGGGTCGGAAATGTTTCCTTCTCTGCGTTACAAATACACTTTGACCTCAAATCTAATATACCCATTAACTCTTCTAGTACGGGTATAGAAACACTTTTTGTTGTCGAAATGTCAGGAGTTGAGCACAACCCTCACAACTCAAGAAGTCTCGGCCCTAACTGGATTACAGCTTTATGAAGAGTTGAATAATTACAGCATATCAAACCAGCACCCATGAAACGGCCATTGGAAGATCTTCAATATACTGTCTACGAAAATGTTTTAGATGCCAGAAGGGTGCTAAGATCTAGTATATCGTTATACTCTTTGGTTGTCTTATCTATCGAAAGCAAGATTGCTACTCAGCTTGACTCAGCCTGACCGAAAAATATCGAAAAATTCTCCAAAGCCCCTTAAGTAAGTTTCTTGTAGATAATACTTTAAAAACTTGGTTACTTTGGCTACTAACTTTGGCTATTTTTGTATTGCTTTCTTCATCCCAGAACAAATCCATTAACAAAATATGTTTTGGTTTGGTATATTCTAAACATAGTACTCAGACTGAAACGATTAATCAAAGATTGAGATGAAGACTAGAGTAATTATGAAGCTACCTAACAGAAAATAACAATTTTCTATGTTCGCCCGAGTCCGTTGCTAAAAAATTGCGGCTACTTTTTCAGGCAATCCCACGATATATGGAACCCTAAAACGTTCTAATATCCACATATTCCATATATGTATTCGCTAAAATTTTACACGATGCAAAACTGAAGTAATCAAGGATCTTGACTACTATCCAATATCTGTTTCAAAATTAAAAAGAATCCGAACTCAACACGCCAAAAATATATGTATAATATATTAACTTACAATATATTGTAATTTTCTCGATTTTATGCAGATCATTTTTATTTACCTAATTTTTGTTGTTATATTATTTAACGATCATTACATAAAACAGTTACTGGCAATGTTTTTACTCTAACAGCCCCTTACCATTTATAGTACATGAAACCTTTTTGTACGATTCGTATCAGTATTATTCCAATGATTCCAGTATATTTCATGATGTTAAAAGGGCTAAGAACGCATTTATCCAGCGCAAGAATCGAACTTTTTAAGTTTTGAAAGATTTTGATACTTCCAAGGTATTCCTTTTGTAAACTAATAGCTACCAATAAATGTGGTTTATTCGTTTATTGGGCATGCATTTGATTTTGTTTGTCAGTTACTTTCAGCTCATCAGTAAATAATATAAACATCCTTCTATCTTCAAAATAAATACAATATGTATGGGTAAAAAGAACATGAAACATAACATAAGTTTGCTTATAGCATGTTACAGCTTGATTTACTTAATGGAAGAACTTTATTGGCGAACGATACAATTGCTGATGCTGGTTGCGAGAAGGCTAAATCGCAAAAAATGTGGCATTGGTTGTCCTTTGTACCGGTCATCGGACGGGCTACGAAAGCAAATATTGACTTGTTCACTGATCGCTGCAATCCTTCGTCGCTTGCATTGACACTCCAAAATCGTTGATTAGGGTCCATGCTAAAGTGAGAAATATTCTGTGCTGCATAATGTCGGCGAAAAAAAGTTTTACGGGTGTTGTCGGTCAATGTAATGCCTTCTTGCGATATTTTTAAATGCACTTCTATTGGAAGGGAATATTTGGCATCCAAGTACATCTGATGAACGGATTTACGAACGGCCTCGAGCCCAGTAAGCGATTCCGTATCGCACTGGTACAAGTAAAGCACGTTGCATGCAGCGCCCTGTACAAGAATCTGCTTTTGTCTGGATATCAGATCATTGTCGCGAGAATACAGGAGCAGGTCCTGGTCCGGTATAATAAGAGTGCATGGCAGAGCTAATTTGTTAATTGAGTGCTGATAGACAAAGGCTGATAAGGACGTAAATATTGGTTCGTTTACGCATCCCTTTAGACGAATGCCTCGATTCGTAGGCTCTAAAAGAAAATGTCGTACCAACTCATCCCCGTTGCCTGATATACTCGTACTAGGTACGCCTGGTGGAGCTTTCGCAACCCGCAACACAAGCCCATATGCATCGCGATATGTGGTCGAATTTCGTATGAGAAATGTCCCGACCTGTGCGGTACGCAGCAGCTGCACAGCCTCTTCTCGAGTCATATGTGGCTTGTACCAAAATTGTGATGAATCTTTGGCAAACTTCACCAAATGTGGCTCCACATCTTGAGTAATACTGGGTTGTGCCACAAAACCCTGCTCTTCAGATGTTGCGCATTTTGCAGTTCCTGATGGGTACGGGCTGATACATCGCTCACTGTTGACCAAATTCTGAGCAACCGGAAACGTTGGCGTCTCCGGACGTTTCTTTTCTACCACAAGCTGGGTGGAATCAAAGCTTTCTGAGCTTTGGGAAGGGCATAAAGCAGCTTGTGTTGAATCTGTGAAGCCTATGTATTTTTCCTGTTTGGACCCATTTATATTTTGCGTGGAAAGAATGGTTTTATTGAGCTTCTCATGCAGCTCATCGAAATCTTTTTGTATGGATGCTTTTTGTGCCAACTTAGTTGCCGCATTATTTTGTTCTCGCAAAGATTTGTCTTTTCGTTCCATCAACATTTCTTCAAATTCTTGTCGTGAAGGCGTCTTCCTTAGCACAGGGCGAGATGGCGAAATGCCGGGTCTTGTGCTTTTACGAGTGCTTGAAGGACTGCTTGGGTAGGTGCTTTGAACACGTTTTGCACTTGGTGTTTCAAAAACGTCCTCTGACGGGACATGGCTTAAGTCGCTGGTACTGAATCCCACAGGCACGTTCCCATACGTAAAGGGTTGAGCATTTTCACGTGCATGGTATGGTATATTTTCTGTGTCATCTGATTCCGGACTTGTGCGATTTTCAATACAGGGAGCGATCTCACCCACAGGAATAAGTCCATACACTGTTGTCATTTTGACCTTGTTCAACTTATCAGCGTCTTAATCTCTAAAAAAAAAAGGATTTTAATTATAAAATAAAAAAGAAGGAAAGAGAATTCGAGCTACAGCACCAGGGGTCCGTGAGATCAATCGTTCATTTAATATTAATATCTCAATAAGAGAAAAAGTGAATATTAAGTTTGATTACACTACTCGATAAAATCGAACTTATTTTTTCCTCAACGATCCAAACCGACTTTTTCTGATAGATATTACATTACATTACATTTTTTTTAAAGAATTATGGTTTTTACCTATGGCAGAACTTTTTTTTGAAGAATTTTTGAGGTCTGGTATTTTTTTTAAAGCTTTTTTCAGAGGTAACGCTTCTTTTTTCACATAAGTCTAGTATCTTACGTCTGGTTGTAAAGAACTTTGCTATTTTGAAAAGATAATTAAAACAAAGTTCTGCCATGGAAAAAAAAATATATCATCAAACCATTTCTAAGCTCCAAATCTTTAAGAAAAGTTGGTTTTGTTCCTTGAGGAAATCTCGTGTCGATTAGTGTTATCTAAATAAATAGAAAAAAATCTCTTCTAAGAACTTGGTTGTTGACAGATAGTTCCTACACAGCTACGTACATATATGTACATATATATGTATGATATATTGGGCGGGTCGAATGCGTCTGAGTCAAACAAAACAAAACGCTTCAAAACTGAGTTAGTGGTTTGCTTATGAGAAGATACACAGACCATCCTAGGGAATACTAGATCGACATTTCTTGGAGTTTGACGATGCTATCTTCTAAATAGTAGTAACAAACATTTGGTTTATAATACCATACCACCCTAACTGGGTGTAAAAACAGCACTCGCATGAGCAATTTTGTACAATTCTTCTTTGATTTTTTAAGTTATTCACAAGTTGTTTCAGAATAATGAACGCTGCTTCAAATTGCTTAAATGCCACTTCAATTTGAGTTTTGGTCGCCGTATTGAATTACTACATATTTACATGTGTTCCAAAATTTCGTTCATCCATCGATCATTCCCAATATGAAAATACCACTACTGCTAAATTTTTGTATTTCTCTGTACATCCGCATAATACCGAATTTTAATAATTTAATTTGAAATAAATGTTGCAAACGGTCTGGCGGGCCTTTATTGGTACCCTACGAGTATCATATGGTTTTCAATTTTATTCAATACAAAATGTTAATTTAAGCACAAAATTGTTGGGTCAGTCATGATCGGTCGCCATGGATCTTTAGCTCACTTACAAGTATTCGCTGAAGAAGAAATATCGAGCCTATTTTGGTGTATCGTCGTTTATTTATATGTGTGCATATATAGAAAAGTATGTATCTGCAGCATGTACAATTCTATATATTTGTATTCGTGTGAATCGGCACCACTTTGTCCGTGCTTTAAAAGCGCGTCCGACATGAACAGAATCTAGCAGTTGACTATCGGGGCAGCTGGCAAGCATAAAAGCTTCTTATTCTCGCTTCTCATTATAGAAGCATGCATACATTTATAAATACATATGTATATTTGTACATACATATGTGTCTACAAATTTCAGTGTATGTTTGTACATATTTATTGCAAATAAAGCTCCAAAGTTTCGAAAAAGTTTAGGATCTTATCAAGCATACACACTAGGCTGGGCCCAAATTTGACCAACAATTTCTTTTTTTTCAAGTGGACACCCCCCAGTTCTGTTCTTTGTTATTTAATATTTATTTAATTTAATTATTTATTTATTTATTTAATTAATTATTTTAAATATATTAATTATTAATTTTTATTAATTATATACTTATAATTTATTTAATAAAATTATAAAATTGGTTTAAATTTTTTGGTTTAATGTTTGGATGTTGCTACAACGAAAAGAAAATACAAAGTTTTGGGTAAATATACATTAAAAACGAGAAGGAACGTGCGAGTCGCTTCTGGGGACGCGACTCTACTTATACCCGAACTCAGTCAGTATATACATTTTTGAGCATATGATTTTTTAGAATTTTAGAATTAAAAAAAAAGGTTACATTTTACATTTTTTTGCTACATCTGATATCTACATCTACAATGTATATTCTACATCTCCTCTGCTAGAGGTTGCTCGCGCACTGAACGCGGCAGAGTGTGCGAGCGAGAAAGAGATAGGTAGAGGGTCTCTTGCTGGAGGGGGCGGAAGAACCAACAGAAAATTAATTTCTTTATTCTGGCTATAATTATGATTCGATCTAATTCAGATTCGGCAATCTGGTAGATATGGGCATTCTCTACGTGCCTGCCACAGATTTTCGTCCTTTGTGTGGGCGGAAGGGGGCGAGGCGAAATTTTGAAATACACTTGTAGCAGTGTAATATCACATAAGTCTGGAAACCAAATTTGGTTGCCCTAGCTCTTATAGTCTCTGAGATCTAGGCTAAATTCTAAAAAATCATAAGCTCAATAATGTATATACTGACTGAGTACGGGTATAAGTAGAGTCGCGTCCCCAGAAGCGACTCACACGATCCTTCTCGTTTCAAATAATATTGAAACTTAGAAACTAGGTTATATTGATAATAAGGTATTTTTATTTTTTTTTTAGTTACTGTTAAAAAATTAACGATTGGTGAAAATCAAGAAGTTCAGCTGAGTTTGATATATTTAGTTAACTAGTTCGCAAAAACTTGTGGAGGTTTTTTACTGCCAATAACTGATTAATGACGATATGAGTGGTATCAATATATACGCAATAGATTTCACCAATTATCCAACTCATTCAGCAAAATTTCTTTTCTTAATTTTCTTGATTCAAATTTTTTTCTTAATTTTCTTGATTAAAATTTTTTGGAAAATTCGGTAGCAACCTCTAAAAAATAAAAATAAAATAAATAATAACATGTAAATTACTATCCAATCCAAGGTAACAAAACAAGGGGGTGCCCGTTTGAATTTCGAAAAAAAAAATTTTGGCCGCTTTCAACGCTTTTCATAATTTCATTACATCACTCCTTCAGTCAACGAGAAAAATGCAAAATTTACAAACTGCCAGAACCCTATGAATTTTATTATTATAGCCGTACTCGAAGAGTTTTATTGACTCGGCTATTGATGCTGATTAAGAATATATATACTTTATCTGGTCGGAAATGTTTCTTTCTGTGCATTTCACAAATCCACTTTTACCACAAATACAATATACCCCTTAACTCTTTGAGTACGGGTCTAAAATCCTGGCAACGTCATTTTGAAACAAAAAACGTCGTGATTTTGATAAAACTTTATATAATAATAGAACTCAACACCATTTTTCCGCTTCAAACCAAACCCACTTTTTTTGATAGACTTGGGGCTTTAAAAAAGCTTAAAAAAGCTTGCTTTTTTTTCATACTTTTTAAAATGTTTGGACATTTTTTTTGTTTAAGAGAAATCCATTATACGACCTTGAGTACGTCGATTTTTTATAAAAACATTACAAAGAGAAATTGTCTTATTTTTTTTTAGGATTGCTGGGATTATAAAAATAAAAAAAAACACAATTTTAACTTTAAAAAAAAATTGTTTCATACAAATTTATTTAACATATGCAGTATTAATCAATTTCGTCTGGTGTATTTCCAGTTATGCCAGATAATAATTTTTTGGTAAATTCACGTAGCTGTAACGGATCCTCATTGTTAAAATCATCCATCACCGATTGCATTTGATCTTTAAGGCCATCTGCTATGGAGGTTGTTATACGATCTTTAAAAAAATTTGTTATAGGGCTTAAAATAATTCCTGTCAGCTGTCTTATCAACCGAGCCTGGTCCAATTGAACATGAATATTACTGTTAATTCAAAAGAAATAAATAAGAAATATTATATTATTTAAGTGGGTCAAGGATGTGTTTAAATTTGCACTGTAATTATTATACATATCTAAGTTCCGAATTACCTGAATTCCATTATCCGAAAATCGTGAAGATGCAGCTTGGAGTTGATGACATTTACAGCTAACTCAGCATATACGACTGTATTATCCAATGAACCCATTACTTTGCCGTATCCTTCAATTGCCATCAGTTTAAGGAAAAAGTTGTATTCGAACTGTGAATTAAAAAAAAAAATAAACTATTACAAACTACTGAATTTTTAAAAATTTCCTGAATTTTAATTTGTAGGTAAATAATGAAAATGCTTTTTGCAACAGAAAATCACCTGTTCTTTTAATATAGATAATGTGATACTTATCTACCACAAGAACAGGTGATCACTTTCATTAGACAACGAACATATAATATGTACATCTGTAAATACATACGTATGACCATACGTACCATGTAAACATACTTTCAAATTCAAAAATAAATTATCATACAAAGATTCGTTTTTGCCTATAATTGATAATTAAATTTCTTAACGGGAAACAAGGTACCAGATACTGGTACCATGTGGTTACTAAACAGATACTTTTTTTTAGCTAGGCTTTTGATTCAGTGAATCATACTCTGCTATCTCACAAGCTGCCTTGAATAGGTTTCCCAACAAATCTTCTTAACTGGATATCACGACGATGTTGTCAAATTTTACCTCAGGAGTAACACAGGGAATTCATTTCTGCACTAATTTTATTTGTGAGTGACCTTCTTCAAGTTATAACACACTCTACTGCACCAATAAATGCTCTTCACTCTGAACCTTTCCAAATACATACTTATGACATTTTACAGTCGCGCTCCACACTTTGTCTCATACTTTATAGGAAATCATGTCCTGGATCAAATTTCGAGTTAAAATAACCTTGGAATCCTCTTTGATCACAAACTGTGTCTAAAACGCTGTACGTCTGCTTGGTTCGCCCGAATGTAGAATATTGTTCTTGTGAGTGGAGTCCACAATACAAGGAGCAACAGACCATTGTCGAATTGGTCAAAAAACTATTTTTAATATTTACCCTACGTAATTTCAACTGCGATAGAATCTGTTGATAGAATCTTGCCACCTTACCAATCTAGGCTATAACTCTTAATTCTACCTTCATTGCGCCATCGCAGAATATATGATGGTGTAATGTTTATACACAAGCTCCTTACTGGAGATTTTGGACTCACAATCACTTCTGGGCCAGACTGACTTTTCCGTTCGCCTTAGACCCGGGGTCGGCACGGCCCCTTTCTAGTGTGCTTAGGAAAAGGCGCTGCCACTCACGTATAAGTGTATTACAGTAGTTGGCACCAATATAATGATCAGTTTTGACTGCTGTATACGCACAGAATCGCAATGCAAAACATTTGATTGTGTGCGTGCCGACCACTGCCTTAGACCTATCCGTAACTTTAATCCGTTTAGTTTACCCTTCTGCAGGTCGAATTAAGCTCAACACGATCATTTTAGAATTGTACGTCTGAAATATCCCTTAAAATTATAGCCTCATTACTTACAATCTTCTTATTTTTATACCCGTACTCAAACAGAGTTAAGGGGTATACATATTGTATTTGTGGTAAAAGTGGATGTGTGCAACGCAGAGAAGGAAACGTCTCCGACCACATAAAGTATATATATATTCTTGATCAGCATCAATAGCCGAGTCGATATAGCCATGTCTGTCTGTCCGTCTTGTTGAGCGCATATATCTCAGAGACTATAAGAGCTAGGGCAACCAAATTTGGTTTCCAGACTCATGTGATATCACATCATACTACAAGTGTATTTTAAAATTTCGTCCCGCCCCCTTCCGCCACCACAAAGGCCACAAATCTGTGGCAGGACAATTTTAAAGATACGATAAAACTGAAACCGCAGTATCAAAGAGAATGACCATATCTACCAGATTGCCGAATCTGATTCAGGTCGGATCATAATTATAGCCAGAATGAAGAAATTAATTTTCAGTTTCAGCAAGAGACCCGCTACTCATTCTCTTTCTTGCACGCAGACTCTGCCTTTCAGTGCGCGTGTGCCGCTAGCGGAGAAGATGTAGAATATACATGGTACATGTATAATCTACATCTTAGATGTAGCAAAAAAAATTTGAAATATAGAAATTTTTTAAATTCTACATAAATCATAAGCTCACAAATTTATATACTGACTGCTTACGGGTATACAAGTAGAGTCGGGTCCAAAGAAGCGACTCCTTCTCGTTAATTATTGGTTTTATTTTTTTCTTATAATTTTAATCATTTTATATCTACATGTAAATAAATACTGCTCCACCGATTAAAACGTCTTTCAATTCAAAAATACCCCAATAAATAATGAAAATCTATTCGAAAAATAATGCTAAATTATATAAATTTATCCATTAAAATACAAATAATCACATACATATGTAGGTAAATAAATCATATATTCATATAAACGAAACTAATCATACTTTTCTAAATTTGTTTAAAGCAATATTGAAAATAAGATTGGGGCATGCACAGTCGATGATAATTTATTTTTGATTTATTTTCTTCTGCCCTG